AACATTCCTATCATATTCACTAATTCACTCCGGTATCGATTAGCATTGATAGAACCAATACATAGATCAGCCTCACCATGAGTTAATTTGAATAGGAAGACATAAAATATGCATAATCCAAGTTGAAAAAGTGTGAGATGATGTGATGATGCATAGTTTAGAAATGATGTGCATAATTCATTATCAAAATTGGTTTCAGCTATGGATGCTAAGCCTGATCGTTGTTGATTAGTTGATGAACGTTGTCGATCAATTGGTAATGATAACGAACATTCTATATCGTATCCTTCAAGTTGAGAATGCCAGAATTCACAAGATAATGACATATCCATGATGTGTTCATGAACAGAATAATCTATGTAATTCAATGAGTTACCATTCACAGATAAATAATTATCAAATTGATAAGCAAGAGAAAGATCACGAACGAAGATTGATGTTGATGCTCCATCAAACATTGCATGATGAATACTAATCAATATGTAATCATTTTCAGTTAACAGATCATCATTCTCATATAAAATATTATCTTGAGAATAACTACAATGACGAAGAATATGAAAACGAATAACACATCCTGTCGATAAGTCAAATAACTCAGGTTGATTTAATACTTTTGCAATAATTTCATTCATATGACGGCGATCATCATTATGAAGATTAACGATTGTTACTCCATATGATTTCATATCATCATTGAGAATAGTATTTGCATCTAAACACTGTTGTATGATATGACCATTTGTATCATTAATATAAAGTGCTGTTCGAAGAATATTATGTTTTGTGATAACACTTTGAAATGCATGATATAATCGAGTACTTGATACATGATCCCTCCTAGATGATATTCGATAAAGCAAAGGAATAACATACATATTATTCATGGTTCTTTTGTTGGATGAAAAACGAATTTGTTCATCCAAATAGATTCTTTCTTGTGCAAATGATGCTCTGGCTACAAATAAGAAAAAAAGATAAATATGTTAGTTTATGATAATCTCACGTAGAAGTCGTTTTGTTTACCTTGAGTGAGATGTAAGGAAGACCAAGGATAATCATCCAGAGTATGGATGGCATTGATAGATTGTTGAATGAGTTGAGCATGATCAATAATTGTTGGATGTTGAAATAGATCAGATATCGAGAAACTATTTAGCTTTTGTTCTAAATGAAATTCGATCTTATATTGATGAAAAAGTTGCATGATAAGTAATGAATGACCACCAATAGTAAAGATATTTGTATTAATTGAGATTTGATTTTGTTTAAGTATCTCACACCAAATATGATGAATACTAACTTCAATATCATTTGTTGGTAGTAATAGTTCTATATTGTTTGTTAGATGTCTTGGTGAGAAGTGAGGTGAAGGAAGAAGTTTTCGATCTATTTTTCCATTTGCATTTAAAGGTAATTTGTCAAGTATAATAAAGAAAGATGGAATCATATGTGGTGGAAGATGAGATTGACAATGCTGACGTAGTTCTTCTTCATTGATATGAGAAGATTGAACATAAGCAACTAAATGATCATCATTCCATTTTATGACAACACAAGCTGAAATCGATGTTCGAAGTAAACATCGTTCGATTTCACTAAGTTCAATTCTTTGTCCATGTAGTTTGATTTGATGATCTTTTCTTCCTTGATAATAAAGAAGACCATTGTTATCCATTGTAACAAGATCACCTGTTCGATAAAATAGTTGACCATCTATTTCAACAAGAGCTTTTGCAGTTAAATCATCACGTCCAAGATAACCAGCAAAGACACCAACACCTCCTACAAATAGGTCACCTTCTTGATTGTTAAATACACTTTGTGAGAATTGATCTAAAATTAGATTTTGATATTTTGAAAGCGGTCGGCCTATTGGAAAGCTTCCAGTATTCATTATGTTATCGAATACATGAAACGTGCAATCAACTGTTGTTTCAGCAGGACCATACATGTTCCATAGTCGACAAGTGTGCGTTACAGTATTTGACATTAAATTTATTAGTTGTGTAGAACAAGGCTCACCTAGAGACGAAATCATATAATATCAAAAATAATACATTTCATATAAACATTACATACCACCACTACAAACTGATCGCAGGTATTGCGCAACATTATGACGATTTCGTTGTTGTAGAAAAGTGAAGAAATTATGAATTATAGTTGGAACAGTAGTAATACAAGTAATATTCTTTTCTTTGAAAACACTACCAAGATAGTCAAAGTCCATAATTCCTCCTGGATGTAGCATAATTAGACAACCTCCAATCATAAAACTACCCATTATATCTTGAACATGAACATCAAAAGAACAACGTGCAACTTGAACAATTGTATCCTTTTCATTCACTACATCACCATAAATCAATGAACACATAAATTCAGTAAGATTCTTATGTCGCACTTGAACCTATGAAGAAGCATGAAAATAAATCAGATATTCCAAAATGAAGTGAAAACGAACCGCTTTGGGTGTTCCAGTTGAACCACTAGTGAAAATAATGTACGCTATTTCTTCACATTTCATTATCACACTTGAAAGGCAATTATAATTTATGTCACTATTCATATTATTCATGTTTAATATTGAATCAATATCAAATGAAACAATATTATGATCGAATTTCATTGTAGTTAAATGATGAACAAGTACAAGACGACTTTGTGTCTGTTGTATGAGTGCATGTAAACGATGTTGTGGATCTCGAGGCGATAATGGACAATAAACACAACCAGCCATTTCAATTCCCATAATGCCAATCACCTAATTAAAACCAATCTCAAACTCATCAATAGTTATTTCTCTGACTCTACTTACCATTGATAAACTTCGCTCAACACATTGACAAACTATTTCTTCTTGAATGACATGATATTCATTAACAAGAGTTGAAGATAATACTTGAACATAATACAAAAGTTCACAATATGTCAATGATTGTTCATCTAGTTCAACAGCTAGTTTTTGTGGATGTTTCATTACTTGATATACAAACTCATGATGAATACAAGTGACAGCAGATGGAAATAATATCTGTGTATTATTCATTGATTGCATTAGATATCGTTCATTTGGCAATGCTAATTGTATTTCATAGATTGGTTTGTTGGTTGTACAGTCGAAAGATGTGAATTGTTGATGTAACATTGTCTGCAATCTTTGTGCAATTGTACAAACTGTTTCACCATTGAATAAATCAAGTGAAGCATTAATGGTGCATGATAATTGATTTAGATTCAGATCATGTTGAATACTAAGAATAAAATCAAATTTACTTTTTGTTTCATTTTCACTAATCTTGATTGAATAAGGTATTAAAGAAAATCGGTTGCCACCAATCACTATCTCATTTTCATCATCTCTTCTCATAGATGATATAAATTCAAATGATGTATCAAGAAATACAGGATTTGATATATTTGGATGTTGATTAAGAATACGTTGAAGAGGAAAATATGAATATTTAATACAATTTATCATAGTATCTCGAACTTGCTTGCTAACTTCATGGAATGTTAAATGAGGATCGAGTTGATATCGCAAAGGTATAGCATTCACAAACATTCCAATGATAGATCTAAGCTCATCTCTATATCGACCATGTGTATTTATACCAATGCATAAATCTTTTTCTCCATTCGTTAATTTGAATAAAAACACATAATAAGTAGCAAGTGCAAGATGCTCCAGTGATATATTATTTGATGATGCATGAGTATGAAAGTGATGTGAGAGATGTTGACCAAAGTCAAAAGAAATAGATGTTCCACGACCAGATCGATGTTCACTGGAGAGACGATATCGATCAAATGGTAACGATAATGGGTGATCAAGTTTACAATCATGAAGAGCATCAAGCCAAAACATACTTGCGCCAGTCATTGACATTTGTTGTTCGATAACAGCATCTATTATATAATTAAAGAAGAGAATGTATTAGGAAAAAGACAAAAACAGAAGAACTAATTATATTTACAATCGAGATAACGTAGAAGAGTATTGTCATCAAACAATAATTGACCTGTTGTATATGCTTGATTGAGATCATGATAAAATACTTTCATTGATGGAAAGTCAAATAAAGCATGATGAAAGTTGAAAATAATCAGATCTTTATCAGAAAGAAGATGATTTGAAGTGATTTGTTTATAACAAATAATATGACATCGAAATACAAAACCTTGAGCAAGATCAAAAAGTTGAGGATTACGTTTCTCGTCGTGTAAAATTTCATTCAGTTGTTCATCTGTTTCATAAGTAGTTTCGATGATTGAAAACCTATTATTATCTTTATGTTCATGAGTGATAACTCGTTGCATAAGTAGATTCTTTTCGATGTCAAAATGAAGAGATGTATGAAGTGAAGGATGTTTGTTAATAATGAGATGAAGAGCATGACGAAATTGTTTAATCGAGAAAGTATGACCTGGTTGCAGACGATAAACAAAAGGCATATTATAGATTGCTATTTGAGGCTTGTCAGGATCGAATCGAATTCTTTCGTCAAGCCATATACGAGCTTGTGCAAATGATGCTGGTGCTGGAATAATTAGAGCTTAGAGAATTATAAGGTAAAAGCTGAATGGTCAAATAATGTTTAACAAAATTATTCTAGTCACTTTCCATCTAATCGCCTTTCTACCTAAACAGAATTTGTCTTCTGGCATGAAACCTATGAGCGATTTTTTATTCTGAGAGGATGCTAGTTTATAAACAAACAGGCTTATCAAAGATTCTATTATCATAGTTGTTCTATTTCTTAAAATGAAAGGTACGATTTTCGAGTAACGACAAATGTTATATTTTGTTGACTAATACAAAATACAACACTATTCACATATTCGAAGTAAATAGTTATCAGAAACCGTTACAATTTAACTTCGATTTCATTCATGTAAGTTTTTTGACAAGTCCGATTCCAGCTCACGATCAGCGTCTTCAGCAATCTCTCCTTAAAAGTTACAAAACGAGACTACCTTAAAAAGACAACTTGAGTCATTGGCAATCACAACTCATTTGAAGCCCTATTTTGTCATTATTTATTTCGTTAAAATTTATTTGAAAACGAAAAAAAGCTATGTCTGGACATTGCAATGCACTTTAATGCATATTTGTCATTATTGATTTAACTGGCTACTACTTTTTTAAAACAGTGGAACAAGCTATATACAATCATACCTTCATTTACAATATCATTCAATCGATGAAATCCAACTAATTCCATTTCTTCGGCTTCTTCGGGAAGTATAAGAGAGACTCTGTTAATCGATGAACTCACATTCATCACAAGAATGTTGCTCGATTGCGTTTGAAACAGTTTTTCAAACATATACTGAAATCTTTGAGCTATTTGTGAAACAGTTGACTTTTCAAACAGATCATGTGAACAAACAAAACGACATGATAGTCCCTGGTTATCTGATAATGGATTGTATACAAATGTTAATGAGAAGTCAAATTTAGACATTTCAGCTGTTTGTTCTATTGTTATTCGTTCTAAATTTGCGTCATTCAAACATAAATGCCCCATATCTTTTGCTATACTGATAAAGTCAAACATCGTCTCAAGAAATGATACATTCGATTGAGTTAATCGATTATCAGCAAGAATATGTTGTAATGGATAATGAGAATGTTCAAGAATTGATAAACATTTTTCTCGTACATTTTTAACTGCTTCATCAAATGACCAATTGGGATCAAGTTCAACACGATACGGTAATGTTGAAACGAACATTCCTATCATATTCACTAATTCACTCCGGTATCGATTAGCATT